AAAATAGGTCTGTAAGTGGATAGGTTTGCTTAATGGGGTTTAGAATCCATTAGTAACAGGTTACTTACAGTATATCACAATCATAGAGTCATAGTCTCACCCAGCTTTCATGTTCTGCTCGCTTTGCCTGGTCCATTAGCAGCAGAGCTGCAGTGTATTTGTGCATCTTTCCTTTAATGTTTTGAAAGAAATTAATTCTCCAGATAAGAACACTTTAATACAGCTGATTTCTTTTTTTTCCCAATTTGAATTAGTGTGACATAATATTGTCAATTTATCTGTAATATAAATAACTGTTAATGTTTTGTTGTCCTAGTTGAATTATTGGAATATAAGCTTCAGCAGGAAAAATCTATTGTAAGTGACTTGCAGAGCACTCTCTCTGAAGAGCAGAAAAGAGCCTCTGGAACATGTGATGTCCTAAACCAAGAAAAAGCAGCCCTGAAATCAGCACTTCATGAAAGTAAGCAAGAGAACGAAAGGTTGCAGAAATCCCTGGAAGAGCTTCAGAGGGAAATAAATCAGTTACGGTGAGTAGATTTATTAATTTATTTGATTTATCAGCCGGTCTGAGAGACCTTTGTAGTAATTGGACACACAAATGGCTTAGCACTTGGAAACACAGGGAGGAAAACTAACCTCCTAATTTTCTGGGATATGTTTTCTTTACTAACTTCTGTCATTCCTGAGTATGTTTCCCTCCCCACTCCCTTCCTAGTGTATGCTGATGTTTTTCTTTCCTCTCACAGGACAACAGCTTTGCTCTGCCAGGAAAAATAACTTCTCCCTATCTTAGTTGTTGCTAAGTAGAGCAATTCTTCTAGCTTGGCTTGCAGGGAGGTAAATGATTTCAGATGCCACTTGAAAACTGACTCTCTTAAGAAAGAGCAGAGGCCACCTTAAAGAAACAAATCAATAGACCAACTCAGAGAAAGCAACCCAAAATGTCTTGTTGGCAGTTGCTGGTGAAGGATGTTTTGTTCTGAACATAGATATGTCATTTTGAACTTTGCAGTTCGGAATTGGAAAAGAAAGGAAAGGATTTGGCAGCTGCACTTGGAGACTTGCAGGCTGAACAGCTGAAGGAATCTGAGCTCCGAGGTTGGTTTGAGGAACAACAGCGTCAGCAGAGGAAAGCAGAGGATGAAAAGACAAAGGCTCTGGAGGTAACGCCCAATTCCCTTGGGGCATGACGTTAACTAGCAGGTTATTTATGCCTTCTTTGTATTTTTGTTTAGTAACTGTTAACCCCCCCCAACCTCTTCTGAATGTGCACAGCACATTTTTTTCACAGAATTAAAGCTTTCAGTTACCTTCATTAATTGCACGTGCAGAAGTTGTAAGCCTTTTCCTCTCCCCCCCACATCTTCTCAGTGTTTTTTTCCCTTTCCCATTTTCCATTTTCAGCTGTTGGGTACTGCCTCTTGCTGAGCAGGGACAGCCAGATTCTGCAACTGTGAAGCTGCACCCTTAGTTGCAGAGCAAACTTGCCATAAGGGTGTGATGTGTATGATCATTGAGATTATAAAGAAAACCACCCATTGATACATAGGCTTGGCAGAGAGCAACTGGAGCCTTTCCAATATAACATTCATTTTTGGAGGTTAACCAAAGTCTTGTTCCCTTCTAAATTGAACAGAAGACAAGTGAACAGCTTTCTCTCCAAGACTGTGATAGCAATGACTCAGTGCTTTTAAAAAGCCTACAGTGACTGGAAAAGGAAGAAGATTTAACATAGACCATTTTTTAAACTTAAACCCCAAAACTAATCTCTATCAAAGAACTCCAAACAATTCTAATTAAATGCCATGAGGAAACACAATTCTGACTATTTCCTTGTAGCCTGGCTTCTCCCATAACCTTTCTGGTAGGTGTTTAGGTTTGTGGATGGGTTTTGTTGAGATTTTTGTTAGGACATGCTGCTTACATCCTCCATCTTTTCAGAAAGCTGCTCATGCAGGGAGGGCAGAGACCAGAAGAAAAGTGCATTGCCCCAAGGGTAGTTGTGCAGCAGATTAGTCTGGCTTTCACAAATCATCTCTTGAAGCCCCGTTATGGAATGGGGCTGCTGCCACTTGGCATCTGACCTGGGTTTCTAGGAGATGAGAGGTGGTGCTGTCAGGGGGAGGCAGGCTAAACCCCCCTACTAGGACAGCAGTGCCATCTCTGACTGTCTGCAAATTCCCTGGGACTGCCCCTTCAGTCCTTGCCTTTCCTTCTGAAGAGAGGCTGGCTCCCAAAATGGACTTAGGGATGGATTTTAAACTGAAAGAGGGTAGATTTAGATTAGGTGTAAGGAAGAAGTTTTTCCCTGTGAGGGAGTGAGGCCCTGGCACAGGTTGCCCAGAGAAGCTGTGGCTGCCCCATCCCTGGAAGTGTCCAAGGCCAGGTTGTATGGGGCTTGGAGCAACCTGGGCTAGTAGGAGGTGTCCCTGCCTGTGGCAGGTGAGGTGGAATGAAATAGTCTTGAAGGTCCTTTCCAAACAAAACCATTCTGTGATTATTTTTGTCAGTCTCTATGCTTTAAAGAGATAGGCTGCAAAATCCTAAGGTTTTACATCTACTCTTACTGCTTAGATTTTTCTTTTTTAAACAACATGGGTTATTGCTGCTTCAGATGTCACTTATTAATGGGACTGAGTGATGCAAAGAACAGTGATTTCCTAATGAGGCTCTCACTAATTGAAGAAGAAATAATGTACTGGCAAATACATTAACATGACAATCTTTGGGTTTGTTACTTGGTGCCAGGTTGCTAACGGCCATTTTTCTGTCACTTGTAGTTTTAAATTAAACTTTTTAATACCTCAACTACTCTATTGAAAGTCTCGAATATCTTCCTGGATAAAACAGGAGGCTGAAAATTGCCAAATGCCTGCCAGCCCCACAAATGAGTGTTTGTGCTGGAATATTGATGTGTTCTCCCCTGTCCTGCCCAGGAGCTGCAGGCTGCCCTGGATGTGCAGTCGGTGCAGAATCGGCAGCTGGTCGTGTCCTTGGAGCACGAGAAAACAGTGACTGACAATCTCCGCAAGGAGCTGCAGATCGAGCACTCCCGCTGCGAAGCGCTGCTGTCCCAGGAACAGACCAAACTCCGGGAGCTACAGAAAAACTTGGATGCTGAGAAGAACCGTTCGTTGGAGCTCCTGGATTCCTTGAACCACGAACGTGTTTTGACAGAGCAGTTGAGCATGAGAGTGAAAGAAGGTGCTTCCTGTCAGCACAGGGAGCTGCTGCTGGAACAAGCCTTCGTCCAAGAGCTCCAAGCCCAGCTGGAAGAAGAGAGGTCCCGGACTGTGGAGCTAGCTGCTGTTATTGAGAAGATGCACCAGAAGGCCATTCAGTCCAAAAGGCAGCTGGAGGCTGAGGTACAGATGTGCTGTGAGGAAACCCAGAAGGAGAGGGAGGTCAGTGACAAACTGCGAGCCACGCTGGAGTCTCTTCAGGCTCAAAAGCAAGAGGTGATCCGTTCCTTGGAGGCCCAGAAGGAAAGAGAGTCCAAGATGAAAGCTGACTGGGAACAACTGCAGTCACTCTTCAAGATGCTGAAAGAGCAAGATAAGCATAAGAAAGAGGAGAGGGAGTGGAGACAGCAGCAACAGACAGAGCTAGAGAAACAGAAGGACTGGCAGAGAGATCGGGAGAGAATGGTGAGAATGTCTCTGTGAGTCTTGCCTTAGATTGAAAAAGGCATCCATTGGGATTTAGCCCTGTGGATGATGTTCTTTCATTGAAATGTTTCCCTCTGTTAAACAAAGCATTCTGGAAAATGCATTAGATGAGCTCTTTTCCTGCATTTCTCATTGCTGTTTTCTGGGTTTATTGTTGACAGAGGTTGATCTTTATATCTTTTCCTGTGCTGGGAATTGCTGGTTATTTGCAGGTGGAGAAGAACAGGGGTTAAACTGTGCAGGATGGAACCAAACCAGGTTTCATGTCATTGCCCTTATTTTGAACTGGGCTCCTAATCATGGCTTGTGACAGTATTGGTTTCACCCTTCTAGTTTGTCAGCTCCTTCATTTGTAACAGAGGAGAGAGGTTTGCAGGCTCTGTGGAGACTTGCCAGTAGGAAAGTGGATGGAGATAATGCCCACTCCAGTGTCATTAAATGGCTTCCTGGTGGCCCCCGAAGGCAGTCCTCTAGACCCTTCCCCCAAAAGTGATCTGTGAGTTAAGGAACACCCAGATGGATATGCTGGTTAGGTGTGATGTGTGTGTATGCATAAGATGCAATTAATTACTACTTACTCTGTTCAAATAGCAAAACTTGGAACGGCAGCACCAGAGGGATGAACAAAGAATTAAAGAACTGCAGGAAATGCTGGCAGTATTAGAAGAAAGAGAAAGAAATCCTCCAACTCCAAACCATCAGCAAGAGCTGTTGTGTACCTCAAACAAAGATGGGAATGCCAGACAGACTGTGACAAAAGAAACTGAAAAACCCCATTTGCAGCAGCAGCAACAGCTGGAGAAGATAAGACAGCAGTTGCTCTTTGTAGCTGTGCACCTGAACGAGTTCATCTATAAAACTCTAGATAAGTGAGTTGTTGTTCATAAAACAGTGGTTTGCTTTCCATCCTGCTTCTTAACTTGTGTCGGTCGTGGCTGAGAGCCCTGTGCTCTTTTAATTCTTAAAAATTAATGGAACTTGCTAATTTCTGTGTATTTGGTAGTTTGTGTGATGAATAGTGCATGAGTAAAGCCTCAGAACTTAAAGGTCATCCAGTAGGGAGAAAGAATCAAATGTGCTTTAACATTATCACAAATAAACCTGATACTGAAAAGGTACTTCTGTTTAACAGAACGGTTCACGATTGGTCTGCATCAAATGATGAAGCTGTGGCCTCTTTACTACAGACATTAAGGGAACTAAAATCAGATTTATTGTCTCCTGCATCTCAGGTAAGGAAAATAGCATGTATTTGTTGATTATCACTAAGGTTTTCTGTATTCTTTGGATTGCAGCACACATGTAAGTTGATCGATAGATTGATTGATTGATGGATTTTCCTCCCTCCCATTTGTTTTTGAATAAAACATTCTGAGGAAAATTCTGGTTTGCCTTGGCAATGGGAAAGAAGGTGTACTCCTGTACTCACACTGTCATGCTATTAACAAGTTTTAATATCTGACTCTTGCTGTTTTGTTGTATTGCAGGGTCTGCTTCTGACAGCAATTTGTTCTTAGATATGTAGCATGTCCAAGGATCACAAGCCCTGGGATGTGTTGCTGCAGTGTCTTAAGCATCCAGAGACAGTTGTTTTTGATCAAAATGTCAAGTACTTTCCAAAAAAGCACAATAGTGGTTTGTCACCTTGGGAGGGCTCTTCTGACTGATATTTGCAGTATTGCAAATATTTTACACAAGCCCAGGGAACATCAAAGACCGAGCTCAGGTCTATTAATACAAAATACATTATGAAAACATAACTTTTAGATTCCATCTGATTCCCCAGATAACTTTGCACTTGTATGTCTTTTTCTCATCATAGACAGATCTTTTACCGCATTTCAGCCAAAATTTGGGGATTTAGGGCTAACAGTCTTTGGCTCCTGTTTGATTCAGATTTCTATTTTCTCACCTGCTTGATCTCCAGAAAACACAGGTTTGAGAAGGAGTTATGGACTGTCTGATACAGGAAGATGCTTTTGTAGCTTCTGCCCTCCTGTGCTCTTGTAGCACAAGTCTGATGCGTGACAAGCTGCCTGGGCATGTTGTAACTCTCCCTGTGTCTACCTGCTTACAAAATACAGTAAATATTTTCCCTCTGTCAGCTTTGCAGTTACATAGCCCTCTCTGTCCTCTTTTCTGGCTTGGATTTTTTTTTTTTTTCACCAGAATCACCTTTTTCCTTCAGTCTCCTTCCTGAATGTCTCCTTCCTTTAAGGTACTGAACCACATGCTCTGGAGACCAAAGGGAATTCACTGCTGTTATCTGTTTGAGTTGTGAGAAATGGGGGAATAATGGACAGGGAACCTGGCAGAATGCCAGCGTGAAAAATCTGTGCCCAAGTGAATATGGAGTCATCTGGTCAATCAGATGCCACGTGATGCAGTGGATATTAAGTGCATAGATGAATCATGTAGAACTCCTTCAGATATTTCAGCACAACCTTGCTTAGGCTGTAATAAGTTGGTAGGAGAAACTGGGCTCAGTTGTGTGTACTTCTCTAATGTATAGATTTTATTTCAAGGGATAAAACATTAACTGCCTTAAATTACTTTTATTTCTTTTATGATCTGCACCATGCACTGATTTAACTGTTGACCATTACATTTGTAGTTGATACAAAGAGGGTTATGAAGGCACAACTATCATGAAGAGTTGGACCTGGAGTCCTGGGTCTCATTCTTAAAAGAGATGACTTACCACAAAACTTAATTTCACAGAATCACAGCATGATTTGAGCTGGGAGGGACCTTAAAGCTCATCTCATTCCACCCCCTGCCGTAGGCAGGGACACCTTCTACTAGACCAGGTTGCTCCAAGCCCCATCCAACCTGGCCTTGAACACTTCTAAGGATGGGGCAGCCACAGCTTCTCTGGGCAACAGTTTCTAAGGATTGGATGGATTGAATGTGATTTGATTTTATTTTATTTTTTTTTATTTATTTTTTTTTTTTAGAATTTATTTCTGTAGATGCTTCACAGCTTGGTTTTGCTGTATGTACAGCTTGGTTTTGCATGTACACAGACATCTTTCTTCACAATTTCTGTGCTGCCTGTGGATATAGAATAAAGTCAGCTGATGTGTTTCCATCATTAAAGGGAATGGGATCCTTGTAAGGCTGATCAGAGAAGAGAGAGCTTGATGAACAAAAATTCCTTCTTAAGAAGGACTTCTGATGCAGTTCAGTTTCCCATTGTGCTGTTTAACACCTGAATGCCATTGCTGATTTTCAGGCTCATTATGTTTTAATTTTTCATAAAGTTAGGTTTTAGTTGTTTTGAGATGTTTGACTGTGGAAGTAATTTGCAAAACCCATCGTGGCTCACTTCCTTTTGATTTCTGTTTTAGATCAGATCTACAGGTGATGGTGAGTCTGTTCAAGAGCTGGAAAGAGAGGCTTGGCAGCGAGAGAGGAACGTGTTGCAGAACGCACTGAAACAGGCTGAATCCCAACTGGCAAAAGCAAATGCTGAAATTGAAAACAAGCCAGTGGTAGAAACTTCCAATCCTAAGGTAAAGTGCTGGGGATGGCCAGAAAAGGGGCTGTCTGGAGCTTGGAGAGCCATCAGTGTCATTTCAGGAGGTGTCATTTCAACCCAATTTGCTGGGGATAAAAGGATCTATCAGATGATGGTATTTATCTTTCACTTATTGCTGTAATCTTCAGCTGCTGTTTTAAAAAATGATTTTATAAATTAACAGTTTTAGGTATTATTTTAAATTAGAAACATTCCCCATATGTACTTCATTAGAGAAGTTCCTTTGGAACTGCCTTAGTGGCAGACAGACTCTTGCACCAAAAGTAACCTGGATCTTTGGACTTTCTACTTGTAAATGAGAGGGAGACTCAGATTTCTTGTCTAAGCATGAAAATAGAAAACACCCATTATTTTAAAAACCCCACCCCACTAATCTTAAATACTTTTAAATCTTGATTGTAATCAAGTCTGATAGGCATCTTTCCCCACGTGATTTCTGGCTAATTTTTTTAAAGCCCATTTCATTTTCTTTGTTAAAGAGTTCAGCTGTTTTTGAGTTTTGAGTATCACAGTTTTGGTTGAAAGCAGTCAGGAGATTTAAGGCAGTCTGGCACTCCAAACTTGGGTGTTCTTTAGCTGTGTACAGAATTGTATCAACCTGGATGTTTGACCTGAAGACATCTTGTTTGTGGCTGGGTTTTTGCAACAGCAGCAAATGTTCCTTTTCTTTCTGCAGTTGCAGAGATTATACAGGAAGTACATTCGAGCAGAGAGCTTTAGAAAGGCTCTGGTTTATCAGAAGAAATACCTCTTGCTGCTTCTGGGTGGCTTTCAGGACTGTGAGCAGGCAACCCTCTCTCTCATCGCCCGGATGGGGATCTACCCCTCGCCTGCAGACCTGCAGCTCTCCGGGTCCCGGCCCCGGCCTTTCACCAAGTTCAGGTGTGCGGTCAGGGCCATCATCGCCATATCAAGGTAAAGCCAAAACACTCCCTGTCTCTCATACATGGTGTTTCCTTGGAAATGTCAAAGGTTGATAGCTCCTGTGGCTTGTCCTGCATTAATGTTAAGCAAAAGCAGTCTCCAAAGCTGGTTCAAACGTGACTCGTTAGCCGAGTTTGATCCGTACTAAACTAAGGATATATAAAAAATGTCTTTAAGGTGAAAGAGGGTAGATTTAGATTGGATATTGGGAAGTATTGGGCTGTGAGGGTGGTGAGGCCCTGGCACAGGTTGCCCTGGAAGTGTCCCAGGCCAGGTTGGATGGGGCTTGGAGCGACCTGGACTAGTAGAAGGTGTCCCTGCCCATGGCACGGGATGGAATGAGCAGACCTTTAAGGTCCCTTCCAGCCCAAACCATTCCATAATTCTATGAAAAAGCTGCAATATGTTTTGGAACCAGTGCACAGCCATTACAAATTGAAGTCCTTTCAGGGCTGACCTCCTTGGTCTCCCTGGATAGTTTGCCTTGTATCAGAACGTGTTCTGTCAGGGACGGTTCTCTCTGGAATCCAGCAGCCTGTGTTTCCTTGGGCGTGATTCTGTCATACCCTGTCACTGCCAAATGGGTTTTGTTAGCTGTATGTGAGAGAATATGCCATCTGCTAATGGCTTTTAAGTCCATTTAATAAAAAAGAAAGTAGTTTTAAATGTAATAGGTGGTTATTTCTGAGCAATTTCCTTGTCTAGTAAAAATGATTAGTAGCAAGTTTCTTTCAGGAGATGACACAATGTCTTTGACATGAATAACATAATGACAGCAATATCAACAGTGACCTCCAAACTCTTCTCAGGTAGGAAGAGCTGCCACAGAGCTCTCTCTAGAGATTAGGAACAGAGTGGAGGAGCACAGCCAAAACAGGCAAGCCTTTGCAGCAGGTCAAGGATCATTGCAGGGTAAAATGGGATAAACCTACATTCCAAAGACTGAAGTTGAAGAATTCTCCCTTCATTCCCACTAGGATTGTTACTTATGTTGTTTAGTGTGTTCTATGCCAACAAATAATATTAAAATCTACTGTATTTTTGTGTATTTTTAATTCTTGTACAAATTTGTTCTCTTACTAAGGTTAAAGTTTTTGGTGAAAAAGTGGAACAAAGTCGGCAGGAAGAGCACACATGGTGAAAGCATTTCTCACAGTGTAGGAGGTAACACAGGTAAGTGTTTGGACAAGTGCATTGTTTTTATCTTAATTTCTCTTTAGTGACATGTTTCATTTGAAAGTGTCAAAATCTGTTTATTTTGTGGAGCAGATGGATGGATGGTCTGATGCAGGTCAGTAAGGACTTGAGTTACTTGAGGAACAGTTGTCTGTTCCTTTGAGTTACTCATGGGTGTCTTTGTAAGAATTTCAACCAACATCTTAATGCATTACCCAGTACTTTGGAACTGTCTCCCTTAATGTAATATTCCATTACTTGTGCCTTTTCAACACTAAACAAAATTGAGATGAAATAGTGCATTTTGCCTTACCTGATACTACATAATTTTCACTGTTTCTAAGTTACTGGAAATACTTATTTTTAAAAAAAGCACCAACTTCCTACATAAGCCCACTGTGGTGTGATTCCTAGGAAACTTGAATGCTCAAATGCTGAACTTTCTAAAACCTCACTGCAAAATACCGTCGAACTTCTGTTAAAACTGGTTTAAAAAATAAAAATTAAAAAAAAAAACAACAAAAAACCCCCAAACCATAAAACCAATTAGCTGCAGAAAGTGTATTTATCTGCATTTAAACCCAGACTTTACTGTATTCTGCTGTGGTTCTCGTGGGTGTATTGGATTTGTTTCTGACAGCCTGAACGGTTCCCAGCGCATGTTTTTTAACCCTTTTGTATTTGCCACAGCCTCTGGTGCTAGAACAGAAGTTCTGAAAGAGCAGCAGCCCCTGGCTGCTCCCATCAGCTCTCCCCCTACCCGGGACAGGGACATGGGGCTGTGCCACAGAACCAGCGCTGCAAGATTTGGGAGCCTCTCCCCGCGATCCTCTTCCCGCTCGCACAACAGGTCAGTCGGACATCCCTGCCTGGATTTAATCCCCCCATAGACAGCCTTCCATAAAAATGGAATCGCTCGTGGAAGGAGGTACTTGAACAAGAAGAGGAATTTGTTTTCCTGGATCTAGTAAATGTTTTCATTTCTTTCAGGATGGTACAGGAGAACAAAGCTTCCTGTCTGCTTTAAGCATCGTGTCTGATGTTCTCGGACTGAGAGCATTCCTAGGGGTGTTCCCCAATTTAATTTGGGCAGAGCACAGAATTTACAGAGGGTGTCTGTTAGCCTGCTTTGAAGGGCAATTCTTGTTGCCTTTGCAGGAGTTGACATGGGAGGTAGCTGGTCTCAGCCCCATCATCTTGGGATGTGTTCTCTGTTTCTTTACCTCCTGGCTAAATTAGAAACTCCCAACGATCAGGCAAGAATTTTCTTCAAAATGAAGAAAAAAAATAGCAGCAGAGAAGTAGCTGTGGTGATCTAGGAATATGCAAAGACAAGAGATGCTCCAAATGATTGTAGGTTTTTCAGCATTGCTGACTGATGTGGGGCACAGACAGTGCTTGCTGTGACAGCCAGGTGGTGTTCTGGTTTGCATGGAATTTAGCAAAACGTCTCGGAGAGTTCGAGACCTGCAAGCATTTCCCAAAAGACTTAATTCTGCCCCACCCTGTTCCTCTGTCATGACACATGTCTGGGTCTGATGGCCCTGCCAAGGAAAGTCACCCTTACGGTGTGTAACAGGAGGTTAATAACAGCAGCCCTGGCTGATGCTCAGTGTGGCTGAGTGAGTGGCAGCTCAGGTCTGATGTGGATCCAAGGTAGGCTAAACAATGCCTGTTGCTGCTCTTGTGTCCTGGCAAAGCTATACAGAAGGAAGGGATGGATAGGAGCTACCTCCTGCTAATGGAAAGGTGCAAGGAAAAGGAGTAAATCCAAACTACAAATAGCAGTGTGTTTGCACAGTGTCCCTTATGTCTGCTAATATTTAGAATTTGTTGTTAATGCCCAGAAGGGAGACCCATCTAAAGGGGCCCCTTTTTCAACCTTGGCCTTCAAGGTAGTATTTTCCCTGCTGAAGAGGAGTGTGTACACCTGCATGCAGCTCCTCCTCGGTCCTTCTGTGTAGAGGGTCTTGTCTCACTTGGCCATTTGGACTCACCTCTGACTACATCTTTCTTACCCAAGGGACTTCGTGTTGTGAAGATTCAGAAATACTCCAGCTTTTACCAAAACATCCCTTCTTTTGACTCCCCTGTATACAAAGCTTCCCAGTCTATATTGTTGTATACATAACTTTTTGGTGGTGGTGGTGTTTACTATTGTTCCACTTTTCTTTGCCCGGAATTCCTGCCTGTACGAATGTAACTTTACTGTGTATATTTGAGACTATAGCATAAGAAGAAGAAGAAAATAATTTGTTTTCCTTTTTAAGATTGCATCCGTCCCCAAGTTCAGCTTCAGAAAAGTCACTTGTGCCACCTCACGATCCCGAACGATCGCTCACAGAATACATCCATCGCTTGGAGGTTATCCAGCAAAGACTGGGGGGGATGCAGCCAGGTAAGAACCACCTTCTTGCTCCCACAGCTCCCAGAAGTCTGGGTTGATTTTTGCAAGGTTCTTTGTACATATTGCCCATAAAGAACATCATTTTAGTGAATAATTATAATTATTGGTAGGGGACAACTAAGTTTCTGAAAGGAAACCTTTTTGTGAATCGTATCTAAAACTAGTCCAGGTATGGCATTTCTCAAAAGAAGTTCATAGTGAAATTCTTCAGAGGTAAGGCTGAATAATTTAATGTGGTTTCTGTCCCCACTTTTGTTTCCAAGTCTAAATAAGCGAATGTTGCAGTTTAAATGAAGCTTTGTAGAGGGTTAATTTGCTTTAGAGTCAAAGAGAGCTGTTGTAATAGCTGAGCAGGGCTTTCTCTGCAGCACAAACTTCCCTTCCTGTGCTTCCTTCATTTATCACTTCCTTATGTTCCATAATAGATTAAAAAAAAAATAAAATCTGGAGGCTGGTAAATCCAGCCATCTAGTTCTAAGCTTGATCAAAGAGCACACAAAGGATTGTAGTGGACCTTAGCTTGTGCTATTTGAAACACTTCCACCTATTTTCTGGACTGCAGCCAAGAGCTGAAAAGATGACCAGGTCGATATTTAGCTGTGGCACCGAGGGGATGTGGAGTGTGTTTGGATTCAATTCCACACTGCACATACTCACATTTTTCTTTGCCTAAGCATAACCATCATCACCTGCTGTATCCCAGGTGGACTTGCCTCCTGTAATTGTCCTTCAGCCTTTGCCCAAATATATCACTAAAGTCAACAGCTGCAGTGACACATCCACAGAGAAGGGTTTGGGTTGGAAGAGACCTTAAAAATCATCCCATTCCACCCCCCTGCCATGGGCAGGGATACTTTCCACTAGACTGGGTTGCTCCAAGCCCTGTCCATCCTGACCTTGAACACTTCCAGGCACGGGGGAGTCCACAGCCTCTCTGGGCAACCTGTTCCATGGGAATAGTTTGGGAACTTCGACATTGATCTCAGCAGGGCTTTACCTAGAAATTCTATTACTATGACTTCGTGGGAGTTAAGTTCTTTTCCACAAATACTGCAGCTGTATGGCAGATACAGATAGATAAATAAATTTTAAACTTGAAACCTGATAGCCTTTATTGAAGTAAGGTATTTTGCTTCCAAGCGTGTGATAAGTATTCGACAACTGAGACAGCATGAATAGAAATTCTGTGGAAAGTGCATATAATTTCTGTCATCTCCATGTTACCAGGACGATGATGTCAGGCATTACAGAGTGACACTGCAACCTTTAGAACAGTTCTGTGAGCCAAATGACTTCCCAGTTTCTAATGAACTTTAGGACATCTACTCAGTGGCAAGATCTTGCCCAGCAACAGAATCACCACAGGAGTGCCAGAGTCGAGCTGTCACTGTGGATAAAGCAGGCCTGTGATGGAGCACTGGGCCCAGTGTGTAAAGGTTTGCTTTGGCAGACGTGTAAGCTTTCAAATCCTGTTTTGGATTGCTCCTAAGTGGCTCGTGAAAACGGGAATTGCTTTCAGTGTAGCTCGTGTGAAGCGCGTTGAAGAAATTACATGCTGCTAACTGCACCCTGTTGCTTCATAACACAAGCAGTTTTCTAATATTCATTTGGGGTTTTTTTTAAATTTAGGACAAGTGCCAGGCTCACCTCGTCAGAGAAGCATGAAGAAGTGATGGGAATGCTTATGAAATCTGTCCTGTGAGTTACTGCTTCCTTCTGAGCTGGTCCTTACTGAACAGAGGCACTTGCAATCAATCTCCTGTGCAACTGAATAAAGGGCAGTGCTTTTACAGCAGATTTTTATATGACTCTTTTTATTATTTTTTAGTACTTAAGAGGGACTTACTTTTCTCTAAGAATGATGTTTTACATTCTCATGTAAAATTACTCTAAGTTAACAGCTGAAGTGTGACTGCATCACTGTATTGTAAGCTGCAAAAAGTCTCTGTGGTGTTTATTTTTCTAGAGTGTATAGATGGATTCCTTGTAAAAAAAGTTATTAAAATGGCATTTCATTAGTGAATTCTTACATCGTATGGTTATTTGCTTTCACCTCACCTGTTTACTCATTTTGCTGTTCCTAAAATTGTTCGGGCTTTAATGTTTCTGTAGGATCATTCTGAGTAAAGGAACAGCTCAAATACTGTCACAAATATCAAAGATATGTAGCCATCTGTGAATTTAGGGTTTGCTCTTCTGGTTTGACAGTAAGTTCTCCCTCCCTCAGTCTGTCCTATTTACTCTGGACACTTTTAGCTTCCTTTCTCTAGTTCAAAAGGCTCATGACTTTTATTTAACTGTCTGCATTTTTGGCCAAACCTACCAAACAAAACCTCTGAATTCTATCTATCTCTAGTGTAAGTGAAACTCCTGGTTGCAAATCCTACCCTCTGTCCAGTACCTTGTGCTGCAGGTACCTTCAGGGGGACGGTTCCAAATGTGTCTGAAGTTGCTGGTCAGAGGAGAGAGGCATTCTGGTGGTAAATCCATTTCCAACCACAATGTCTCAGTGCAAAAATGAGAGAGATTCCAAATATCATGCTGAATAAGACTTCTTTCTGTGATACTTCTGTATTTCTTTAGAAAAAGTACAAGCATAATTATAACACCAAAAGTATTTTAACCCCCTGGAAACATGAAATCTCTGCCTTTGAAGCAGATGTGGTGTTTAACTTTGGAGCATCAGAAAAATCTCTTCTGGAGGCAGATAATTCTGCTACAGCCTATTACAAGATTTTTCTCTACAGGGTATTGACTGTTATATATTGGTGTTTGTCTCAGATTGTTTCATTGCTTATTTAACTGCTTTTATCCAATATTGGTCCTGGTAAGCCCTTATGTATCTGTCAGGTAGATCACCATTTAGTTCTCTGGAAAAAAAAAAGGTGGTGGAGATAGAAGATTGAAGATAGAGGAGCCTGGCCCCCAAGAAGTGGGGTGGGACATGAGGCTGGTCGAGGGGCAAGGCAGGGCTGAGGAGCAGTTTGTGGCCTATGAGCAGTGCCAAGAGCATCTGTGCCATGTGGAGGAAATGCTGTGGAGCTCCAGGATCAGCCCTAAGTGAAGGAAGAGTCTGGATTACATGGGGCCCACCTTGATGGACTGCTCTTCCTGAACTGTGCTGGATACAATAGAGGTGCCGTCCTGGCTCTTCAGCAGACTGGTGATTTACTGCCTCTGGATGTTGGTAAGACCTTTCCCAGTGCCTCCTCATACTTTTGGTCTAGAGTTCTAAACCAGTTTGAACTGACAGTTCATGCTGGCTCAGTGCATCATAATTCTTTTAAAAATCAGATTCTAGGAATCTTAAGACTCGATGCAGCATTGTCAGACTGCACACTGAATGGTGCTGGTGCCCTTTTTGCTTAGCACAGCATGAGTTTATCCTCTGTTGGGAACAATGTGCATTTCTAGAGCAGAATTCAGAACTGGCACTAAATCAAATCTGTAATTGCATAGTCACACCTGAATGTTCAATGTTGACTGTAAGCAAGGCTGTGAGACCAGAGGACCTGTGCTCAGAGTGAGCCAGTTACTGACACTGCAAATCCAAATTAAAGACTAGTTTTAAAATCTGGCACTTTTAGTTGGACATTAAAAATTACCTTTAAAAGGGCAGTTGGCACATCATAGGGATCAGTTCTGTTTCAAGGGAATTTGGCCTTGCATTGGCAAATTTTTTAATCAATCTACAGGGTTTTTCTTATGTCCCAAGACATGCAGGGCTCTTCCCAAGCCTTGGCAGGGCAGTCTTTCATCTGAGCTATAGGTAATGTGTTACCTGTGGCTACATTCCCATCAGCTCCCTTACACCCACAGATGGCTTTCTGAAGGACAGTGGAAGCAGAAACATTTCTGCCTGGTATCGGGGATGAAGTTTTAACCAGTGTGGTTTTCCCAGTGCTGGTGTGGTGTGCCTGTGCCCTGGGAAGGGCAGTCGCACAGGGCACCCTCTCCCGTGACGTGTTGACCTCAGTAACATGAGCAGAGAAATTGGAAGCCCCATATGTGATACCAACGTGAACCCAATCACCCCAAGTGGGGTAGCTGGTTTGCACAGAAGCAGTTGTTAGCAGAAAACTTCTCCCCAGATTTCTTCCCTGTTTTCTGGTTCCAGGAAAGTTATTCTCACTGGCAGAGCAGTCCTGGTAGGACCACCGGCAAGGTCCTGGATTTGCCTTTGCCCGAGTCATTGGGAGGCTGCAGGAATGCCAGAAGTTCATCATGCCCATGGTGTCTTGCCACACCCACTCACACTGGAACTTGTGGTTGCATGGGAAAAAGCCACTGCCTCAACACGGCTCCAAACCAAGCGTTTCTTCCTGGTCTCTAGCGCCCTTTGAGAGGTGGTTGGCTTTAGGAAAGACACATTTATTTATTTATTTATTTGATACAGTCCCATGCACCACTTTACATGTAGGCTGTCCTACTGGAGTTCTATGGCATGAACATCTCCATATCCTATCCCGGGACACGCTGGGGGTTGGGGGGCGGGAGGAGGAGCCGGGGCCTCACGCTCGGTGGCAGTTCCTATTTTCTGTTGGGAGGAAAGAAGTGGGGAGGGAACAGGCAGTTTCGGTACTTTAAGGGAGTGATCTCAGCAGAGCAGGGGCGAAGGAAAGGGAAAGGGAGGGACAAGGGAAAAGGAGAGAGGAAGGGAAAAGGAAAGAGGAAGGGGAAGAGGAAGGAAAGGAAGGGAAAGGGGGGAAGGGTAGGAAAAGGGAAGGAAAGAGAAAGGAAAGAAGGGGGAAGGAGAGGAAAGAAAAAGGGCGAAGGGGAAAGGCAGCAGCTGGATGAGGCAGCGGGCGGGCCCTGCTGCGGCCCCTCCCCGGCGGCCCGGCCCCGGCCCACCCCGGCTGCGGCGGCGGCTGCGCGGGGCGGTGGGGCCGGCGGCCCCTCCCTCCCTTCTTCGCTCCCGCCCTTCTTCCCTCCCCTCCGGCCCGGCCCGGGACCGCCGCCGCCCGCCCCCGGCCCGCCCCCGGCCCCACCTGCGGCAGCGCTGGGCGGCGGCTCCGGCGGGGTCCCTTCGCTGCTCGCCCGCCCGCGCCATGGCGGCGGAGCGCGGGGGCTGCGCGCTGGAGGCCGTGCCGCTGCCGCCCGAGGTGCGCGAGAGCCTGGCGGAGCTGGAGCTGGAGCTGTCCGAGGGTGAGCGGGGCCGCGGCTCGGCCGCGCTGCGGGGCCCGGCCCGGCCGGCGGGGAGGCCGCGGGCGGCTCCGGCCCGGGGTGGTGCGGGCGCGGTGCTGTCCAGGGGGATCTGGGGCCGGCGGCGGCTTCGCCCCTCGGCGGGGCCCGTGGGCACCGGGCTGCGCTCCCACCGGAGCCCTCGGCCGGGGGCCGGGAGCGGGCGGCCGGGCCTGCGCCGCCCCCCGCGGGCCCTGCGCTGGGAGCGGCGGCGGAGCCTCCCTCGGGAGCGCTTCCAAACGGCCGGTTAGCGCGCGGCTGGATGCGCTGGAAAGACAGTTGTTTTTTGGTTTTTTTTTTAGTTTTAATGTCTATTCCTAACTGTAGCTGAAACCTTAAACCGCTCGCTTTGGATCTCTCATTAATTCCCAACGTTTTTGTGCTTCCCTGTGTATACAGGCAGGAATATGGTGATGTTCCCTCCATTTCTGTAGAGCCACAGAATCACAGAATGGTTTGGGTTGGAACCTTAAAGCTCATCTTGTTCCACCCCCTGCCCTGGGCAGGGACATCTGCCACTATCCCAGGCTGCTCCCAGCCCTGTCCAACCTGACCTTGGACACTTCCAGGGATGAGGCAGCCACAGCTTCTCTGGGCAACCTGTGCTAGGGCCTCCCCCCCCCCCCAGGGAAGAATTTCTTCCCAATGTCCAATCCAGCTCTCTCCTCTGTCAGTGGGAAGCCTTTCCTCCTTGTCTTGTCGCTGCAGGCCCTTGTCCGAAGTCCCTCTCCAGCTCTCTTGGAACCCTTTTAGACAGCGGAAGGGTCTTTAAGGTCTCCCTGGAGCCTTTCTACTCCAGGCTGAACACCTCCAGCTCTCCCAGTGTGGCTCCAGAGAAGGGAGACTCCAGCCCTGCGCCGTAATGAGCCCTTAGTCAGAGGTGGCAAGATGCAATGCCAGGCAAAGGGTCATGGTGACCATTCTGTGAGTTTTCAGTCCCCAAAAGGAAACATTCCTTCCCTTTCACCTCCAGGCCGGTGTTTGGTGGTAACAACCCTTCTGTGACTGCAGTGGGAATTGGACATGGTATCTTGGTGAAGGGCTGGGGAGGTTTTGGGTTTTTTTTGCACATTAGTCCCCTGGCATGGCGTGTCCTGCAGACAGGCAGGTGTAGGCACTTGGTGCTGGAGAGCATGGCAGTGCAGAGGTGACTGAGGCAACATTTTCTGGGAGCAGATACTCGCTGAATTTTCCTCAGCTACATTGTCAAGCTGCACATTGGAATAGAAGAGCTAAAAACCTGTTAATGCCGTCCACGGTCCTGGGGGTGGGAGCATTCAGTCCTCTCCTCAGGTGTTGCAGTATTCAAATCAGCACGTTCAGGTGGGCAAAACTAGGATTATTTCACCTAAATACACTGCCTGACTCAGGTCATGGTTTCGGAAATGATTCACAGGTCCTCTGTCCTCACCTCCAGTGTGGAACCTCTGGTGCAGCAGCAGGGGAAAGGTGTAGGATGGGTAACTTTGTTGTCCAGGTGTAACCTGTCGCTGCACGCCTGCCAGCGCGGTCGGAAGCAGTACCTGGCATGCCCTGGTGCTTGTGCAAGAGGAGTTCCCGTGAGTTGTGCTCTGCTGTGTGTGCAGCTGGGACCATGTGCTCTCACAGCGTGGCCACTCTGGGCACAGTGGCTCTTCCTGTGTGCCTGTGTGCAGGTCAGCCGGGGTTCCTGGGGCTGGCTCCTGGGCTGTGCACTTCCTGACTGTGTGTTTAACGAATGGAGCGTTTTTTAGCAGGTAGGTCTGCAGTATGTTAAACCTGTGAAACACCTGGAGTGGTTGAAAACTGTCCTAGTGCAGGGGGTCTGATACGGAAAGTGTATTGCTCTGTCGCTGCTGGATTCACTGA